TGATGTTCCACGAAGTGGAATATGGACTCCATAAGTATAAGTTTTTATCTCGATATGAGGGATATCCCATGAGGATGAAGAGATGAATTACTATTGGATATAAAGGAGGTATGATGTCGGAAATATGGATCAATGGAAACTCCATGATGAGTCTGAGTAATCATGTCCTAGTTTGGTGCCAATAGAAGGAAGGAAGACAGTACAATTGGATGGATTTAAGAATACTAGGAAGTTGGAAGTTGGAATAATGATCAGTTGCCCGATGATAAGTTCAAGGACTACAATTGATGAGGTGTGCCATAACCCACACGCCCCAGGACCTGCCAAGAAGCAAGCACATTCTTGCTGAAGGAAAAACCCTGGAAGAGGATATGCCCTTATCGATAGACGACCTTATAGAAGTAACGCAAAACCTGAGAGTTGTGAAGGAACGATAGATGGTTGTTTGGCTTGCAGAATCTATGGATTTATCCAAACTTGGTTCGTCGACAAGAGAAATTCTGCAATGCTTGTGAGGATGACCGAGTGATAGAATGCGAGATTCGCTAAACTGTATACAAGGTAATGATTTGGGTGCGGGATGGATTGATCACCATACCGACTTACTCTTATTATTCGCCTTGCTATGTGGGATGGTAAATCTGAGTGACTTACCTATAGTATAGAGACGGCGATATTAAACCTTGTTTAAGCCTTAGAATGGTATAGGTATTTTCCCCTGTACAAGGCAGCTTTGCCAACCGTAGGTTATATGGTGAGGATCACCCAGACCCATTTCCTGCAGGAGAAACCATAAATTGTTGACCACCATGAGATATCGATAGTTATTTAGTTTCGGCGCCAGACCCGTCAGCTAAGAAGACCCAATCTCGGAATAACCTTACCTAGATGAAAGATAGAAGAATTGAGGAAAAGGTTATGCCACTACCGGAAGAGCTCAGAGAAGGAATTTTCTCGAAGATCTAAGAAGACCGGCCCTGTCAAGAATAAGGATGGAGTATATGAGTATTGATGGGACCGTAACAATGTTACTAAGGGTGGTAGCACCCCAGACCCCGGAGACGATCGATGAAATTTTGAGGAGACCCCCAAACCCTAACCTTTCTTGCTAGCCTCTCCGAATCTCGAGGACGAGATTCATTTTAAGGGTGGTAGGTTTGTAACATCCCAAAATTCTAAATTTTGAAATGTTATAATAAATAGATAGATTTGATTGACTGTTTGATTGATTGACTGAAAGTGAGTGAAATTCGGAACTTTTTGGAAGTTAAATGAGAGGGAATAAAAGGACTTTTCCAAACTTTCACCTTGCATTTTATGATCTCCGTGAATTCAAATTCTTTTCACCACGAAACCCTGGAGAGAAGATGACATGACTTCTTCCATTTATTTAAATGACAAGGGGTGTTGAAAATATTTGAACTTCATTTGAGAATATTTCCAATTCTGAAACTTTATGCAACTCAATGATTTTCACGAGCGAAAATAAAATGACTTCTTCAAATTATATGAAATATGAGTTGGGAGTTTTAAAGGATCAATTTCAAGGTCCTTTTGGAATTAATTTTCAATTTGGATTTATTTGAGTTTTATTCAAATTATTTTTCTCCAAAAATAAAATATATGGAAATTAGGGTAACATGATTCCCTACATTAGAAAATTGGAGAAAAATTAAATTGAAATCATTTTGGTATTTTAAAAATGATTTTTGTTGGATTTTATTAGACCAGTAGCACTCTTTGAATTATCTAAATTTGTGTGAATTTTATTTAATGCTAGGAAAATGTTCATCTTGTAGAAAAAAATTTCTGAAATTTTTTGATATATTATATGCCTATATAATATATTTATTTATTTATTTATAAAAAAATCTTCAGACTAACCGGACCGGGTCGGCCCAGTTCGCCAGGCCACGGCCCAGCCGGCCCACGCCGCTCGTCCCCGAGCTCGGGACGAAGTCCCGAGCCAGCACGCCGCGCCACCGTGGGAGCTCGGGACTCCTCCCGAGGTTCGCCGCCCCCCTTTTTAAGCCGCACCCGGGCCCCTGGACCCCGATCCGTCGCCGCCCTCTCTCCTCTCCTCCTCGCCGCATCGCCGCCTCCCGCATCCCGTCGCCGCCGCGCCGCTGTTCGCCTGCGCCGCCGCCTGCTAGTGCCGCCGCGCCGCTTCGCCCCGCGCCGCTCGCCCGCCGGAGCCGCTGCTGCCGCAGACGCCGGAGCTCGCCGGATGCACGCCGCTGCCGCCGATCTGCCAACCGCAGCCAGCGCCGATTTTTTTTAAAAAAAACCGACGAGCCGCCCGACCGGTAAAACCCCAAAAGCGCGAACCGATTTTTTTCTTTTAGATCGGTTTTTTTAGTTAGGCCTATTCAGAGAACGTTCGCTGTCTATCCCTTCGGAGCGAACGAATCCATCCATTAGCGTTCGGTAATGAACGTTCGTAATTTAGTTTTTTCTTTTTCTGTTTAATCTCGTCCAGGGACCTATTTGTGATAAATTTCTTCACAGATTAGTCCCTGTACTTCAAACGACTATAACTTTTTACTCGTTAGTTCAAATTCAACGAAACCAACGCCCACATCTTCGTTATGATCTCCTCTATCCATTAATCCAACTCAAACATGTTTTTGAAAATTTTAAAATTTGAATTAGATCAGATTTGAATTTAAACTTCGTTTGATCATAACTTGAGTTTCGTAGCTCCGTTTCAGTTGATTCTTTTTGTAAATCAAAGCCCTTGACCTAAACATTCCGATAAGGCCAAATTCACATAATTTTGGTACTGTTAGAAATTTTTTATGTTGCAAGAGCTGTTTGCTTGGTTTTGATGTTTTCCGAATCGTCTACTTCGATCTTTCTGATCTTTTGAGTGATTACTTATATGTGGTTACTATTGCTTGCTTACGATAGATTGAACGGAGTGTGACGAGTAGATTGATCAAGAGTTTTGAGTGCGAATCATCTTCATCAACATTGCAAGCAAGTTCACACTTTGATCATATCCCCTTCATACCCAGTTTTCATTGCATTAGATCAAACCTCAAACATTGCATGATTAGGATCTAATTAAATTGTGGGATTGGGAAGTAGTTGATGAGGTAGGAACCTATTGCCCTGCATTCAAACCCTTGGGAGCTACTATTACGTTATGCTTACCTTGCCATGCTATGCTCGTAGACGTGGATTGGGTTTGAGAGTATTTCATGACAGATGTGAGATTGTTAATTAATGGTTCAACTTAAGGTGGAAACTTTAATACACATCTGGGTGGATTGCTAGGGGCACCCTGGGGATATACCAGTGGACTTGCCCGGACACCTGGGAAAATACCAGTGTTGTCCTAGGAGATCCCGGGGATATACCGTGTGATCATCCTACAGTCCGCCACCCAGGCTCAAAGGGATCATAAGATTATTCATGCTAGAAACTTCCGTGTGCAGCCACAAGCTATTATGGGCTCTAGCATAGTTGATTAAGTCGTGTGAACTCTTACAGTGGTAGACTAGCAGATGTAGGGGTTGTAGGTGGAACGGTCTACCCATCGTAAGGTGCAAACGCTTCTGAAAGACTATGTCTCGGTCATCCGTTTCTCAAACACCTTGTAGTGCGAGAAATCCAACGGAGGAGATCGGGTCTTGTGGGGAAAAGTGCGCAAACCTCTGCAGAGTATACAAACTAATCATGATTAGCCGTGTCCCCGGTTATGGACATCATGAGTCTCTGGTACTTGGATTATCCTGTTGATCTCATCACGTTACTTTAAATTAAGTTTGTTGGGTTTAATGATGTTATTTAATTGGGATTGAGAATGCTGTCAACCATTCTCAATGATCAACAACCATCATGATAGTTAAGTAAAATTTATTCCTTTGTAGTAGGGAAAAATTGACTTTTCGCAAAAACTATAATCATAGAGCTTTTCCACCGGCCAAATATGCATGTAGTGATAGCCTTTGTTCATCATTCTCTATGGTGTGAATTTGTCAGTACATTCAATGTACTGACCCTTTGTGACTGCAATGTCTCATGTTGTAGGATTTCTTACGACGAGTAAGTGATACGTTAGGGTTACAATTTATACACTCAACTTTGCCGTTGGTGTTGATGGAAATCCACAACCTTGTTACTTCCGCTATTTTGGATTGAGGTAATAGTATTTAAGTTACTTTTACATGTGATTTACCTCTGTTATAAATCCTTGAGTACTGTGTGTGTTAGCATACCGATCCAGGGATGACACTTAAGCACAGAGACTTTGATCCATTCGGGTCGGGTCGTTACAATATGAAATTTGATTAGAAAAATATTTAGAATATGAATATTTTACCCGTTAATCATTTAAAACATACTATGTAGGGTTCAATCTTAATCAACGGTGCATTATCCGTCTTTTTTTCATATCGGTATTGATTCGGACTGTGGATGATTATCTTAGCTAAATTAGAATTGGAGACGAAATTAAAGATCACTTACCCGTTTCTTTGTACATATTTAATCTATATACAAGCCGTGTTTAAATAAAAGACATGTGGAATCTTGAACTTGCGCTTTTGTAGATAAAGGTCATCTTTATTTGGGCTGTAACTACAAATATTCAGATTATAGACCATTTATTGTGAACGTGTGGTATTATGTTTTCCCGTTACAATCGCAAATCGCACGGGCTTTTTTTGCTAGTTTACTAAGAGTCCTCCATCTCGGCCGCTCCCGCTCGCCACCACCACCGCTTAGCAGCTCCAAACCCTTGTCCCAATTCCCAAACCCCAGCATTAATGTCCATGGAGATCCCCAGGCCGCTCCCCCCTGCCATCACCCCTCCCATGGCTCCCCACCCCGTCCACCCGCCCATCGCTCCGATCCCCATCCCCGTCACACCCTCCACATCCGCCGCTGCCGACGATGACGAGGTCGACTACGAGGTCTCCGACGACCACCGCGCCGCGCGGGAGCGCCACGAGCGCGCCGTACAGGAGCTACTGCAGCGCCGACGCGCCTACGCCATGGCCGTGCCCACCAACGACTCCGCCGTGCGCGCGCGCCTCCGCCGTCTCGGCGAGCCCATCACGCTCTTCGGCGAGCGCGAGATGGAGCGCCGCGACCGCCTACGCGCACTCATGGTCCGCCTCGAGGCCGACGGCCAGTTCGACCGCCTCCTCCGCGCGCAGGAGGACGAGCAGGGAGCCCCGGGCGACGACGACGACATGGAGCAGATCCAGTACCCTTTCTTCACCGAGGGGACCAACCAACTGCTTCAGGCGCGCGTTGATATAGCTATGTACTCGCTGCCCCGCGCTAAGGCCAGGGTCGACAGTGCCAAACGCCGCCTGGCTGGCCCCGACGAGGACCCCGAGGCAGAGGCCGCCCTTGTTGTCAAGCAGGCGGGGGACTTCGTGCTTGAGTGCAGCGAGATTGGAGATGACCGCCCGCTCACCGGTTGCTCCTTCTCCCGCGATGCCTCAATGCTCGCCACAAGGTACGTCTTCAAAATAACAGATATCTGAAAATGCATTGTTTTCTTGTGTATGAGACGAATAGTGAGGAATGCTTGCCTAAAGCTGCACACCACATTATTATAGTCTTATTTGGGCTCAGTTCTTAATTTCGGTTTGGCTATTGCGATTGAGCATATATAGTCTAGTGAGTAAGATTTCTTGTATGTTAGGTTTTTAATGACTGAAAGCAATCTGAATCGCTGCTTATCATAACAGTTGACCATGTTTCTTCAAATTTTTGTGCATTTATCCATACATATTTGCTTGAGCACTTCATCAGTGATAGCTGCCAACTGCTTTCTTAGCCAGCCAGGTTTAGCTTGCATATGTTTAAAAATTGCAGTTTTATTTCACCATGAAGAGATATGGGATGAATTTGATACTATTGCAACAAAATGTTGGTATATGATGGTTTCTGAGCTAAATTAATTCCAGTCCTTTTTCTATTAGTATAACTAGAAATTTTAGTGTTCAATATGACAGCACTGTCAAGAAGTCAGGACCAGAGTTTCTTCTTTTCCTGGTAAACAAAGGTTGGTATTCTGCATATCAGTTAGGCCCATTTTAGGTGGACTGCTGTCTTGGCAATGTGTGGAGCATTTATCCTAGCAGCACGGACTGCATCTCCATTGCACTCAGATTATAAATACTTAATTGGATTTGACAAATTGCGAGAGTTCTTGCTCACACTCACACCAAATAAGACTAGTAAACGTAAGATGCACAACTGAGTCTATGTTTGTTTTCATTGTTAGCAATGTCATGTGCAATTAGTTGTTCGTCAGCACCTAATGCCCTTTTCTTCCTTTCTATTAAAAATAACTATTTGTTCCTTTTGGTTCTGCAGCTCCTGGAGCGGGATCATCAAAGTATGGAGCATGCCACAGATAACTAAAATTGCAACCCTGAAAGGTCATACAGAACGTGCAACTGATGTTGCCTTCTCTCCAGTTGATAACTGCTTAGCGACAGCCTCAGCTGATAAAACTGCCAAATTATGGAACAGAGATGGGTCACTCCTAATGTCTTTTGATGGTCACCTGGACCGTCTTGCTCGCGTTGCTTTTCATCCATCTGGAAAGTACCTTGGTACAGCTAGCTTTGACAAGACCTGGAGATTGTGGGACATCAATACTGGAACTGAACTTCTACTCCAAGAGGGACATAGCAGAAGTGTATATGGTGTTAGCTTTCATCCAGATGGTTCTTTAGCTGCATCTTGTGGGCTTGATGCGAATGCTCGAGTTTGGGATCTAAGGTCAGGAAGATTGTACTGTACCCTCATTGGACATGTGAAACCTGTAAGTTAACAGCATGGATACTTCTCAAGTGCCTTACTTGCTCTGTGGTCTCACCTATCCGACTATCTGTCGTGGAATATATTTCCTTTTTGAAACTGACATGATTCTATTTTCTCTCTCAGGTCCTAGGAGTCAGCTTCTCCCCTAATGGTCATCTAGTTGCAACTGCAAGTGAAGACAATTTCTGTCGAATATGGGATTTGAGGACCAGACAAATGGTATACTCTATACCGGCACATAAGAGTCTCATCTCGCACGTGAAATTTGAACCCCAGGAGGGTTATTATTTAGCGACATCTTCCTATGACAGTAAAGCAGCGGTATGCATCATACGTAATTTTGGATCAAATTACCCCCCCCCCCCCTCCCTACTTAGCTCACTCATCTTCAATATTTTTCCAGCTATGGTCAACTCGGGATTACAAACCAATTAAAAGCTTGGCAGGCCATGAGTCAAAGGTTACTAGTCTGGATATTAGTGGAGGTAACCATTTGCTTAAGCACCTACACTTATTTGTGTGCAGAATTATCTGTGTGGCGCATTCTTCGAGAATAACTAATTTAGTCCTTTCTTTATCTTGTCACACTAAGAAACAAGTTGGATCATTCACATTCACATCTTTTACTGTTCACTTGTTTCTTTATTTACAGCACAACAATTACATAGTGCCCTCTAGATTGTCTTACACTAGTAGGACGTTCTTTTTTCTGAACCAGGAGCCGTTATTTAGTGAAAACTGCTAAACTAAGATTCTAAGATTGACCATCTTTCTTTGAATAGTTAAACTGCAAGATGTACCACCTCATAAAATGCATGACACTTCTGTTACCCTTCCTATTGCTTTCCTTCAATTATTATTATTTGAATGTGTGACCTTTAGAGCATCTCCAATAGATGGTCCAAATGTAAAAATACCTAACTTTTGGACCGTCTGGGGCAAAAAGCGCTGCTCCAACAGAGGGTCCATATGTAAAAAAGTTTGGACCGCGGCCTCCCGGTGATGTAAAATTGAAAACTTTGTGATGCAAATTTACATCACGAGATGCAACTGGTCCCACCGTAGATCTAAACCCCCGCCGCCGATTCCACCCCGCCTGGGCTGCCGCCTGTCGCCGCGCCGCCCTGACCCCATCCGCCTCCTCTCCGTTCGCCTCCGCACCCTGTCCACCTCCTCTTCAGCCGCCTCCGCCCTGTCCCGACCCCGTCCGCCTCCGCGCCGCCCCGACCCCGTCCGCCTCCTCTCCGGCCGCCTCCGCACCCCGTTCGCCTCCTCTCCGGCCGCCTCCGCACCCCGTTCGCCTCCTCTTCGACCGCCTTCGCCTCCGGTCCGTCCTCCGCCCGGCCCCGCTTCGTCCGCCTCTTCTTCGGCCGCCTCCTGTTCGTCCGCCGCCCGCTCCCCGATGGCGCCGAAGGGCAAGTCCGGTTTCTTCGGCGTGAGGGCGAAGCCCTCCGGGAATTTCGGAGTGGAGTTCTTCAACATCGGGCGGCGTTGGTGGCTCGGCACGCATCCCACTGCCGATGATGCCGCGCGTGCCTACGATGTGGCGGTGTGGCGTGCCGGACGGCCGAAGATGGACCTCAACTTCCTGGAGATCGAGTCCCAGGCGATGGCGGAGTGGCTCATGCCGCAGGGCATCCGGATGGAGGAGATGCCGGCGAAGAAGGCGAAGAAGAGACCGGCGGTTGTCGTCGCTCCGGGCGAGAGCGACGAGGCGGCGATGGCTCGGTTCGTGCGGGAGCATCCGCAGTATGTCCAGGCCGAGCTGCGCGACATCGTGGCGAAAAAGAAGGGGGTGAAGGAGGACGAGGCCGGCTCCTCGACTGTGATCCCTATCGAGTTGTCGGATGAGGACTAGGGTGACTCCGAGGAGGAGGACGAGGAGTGCGATGACCCGACCAAGGACGAGTTCTGGGAGCAGTTCCGCAGCTCGGACGACGAGGAGTAGTTTCATCTAGTAGTTCGAATAAGTAGTAGTTGAATTTGTGTATGAAACTATGTTGAATTTCATGTTTGAACTATGTTGAGATGAAGTAGTAGTTGGTCGTTTTAATCTTCGTTTTGGACCATCTGTTGAAGTTGCTTTTTTTTTTACATCTCTGATTTGGACCATTTGTTGGAGTTGAGCATTTTCCGGAGCTCCAAAAAGCACCATTTGGCAGTCCATATTTTACATCTCCGGTTTTGGACCGCCAAAGTTTGGACCATCTATTGGAGATGCTCTTATACTTTTACTAATTCTAATCATCCATAATATTTGATTATTCATGCTTGGTGGTGCACTGCTCCCTTTGCCTCTGTTGATTGTGTTCCTTTCCATCTCAATTCTTCTACGACATATTTGGTGAAAATATCACCCTTCTGAACTGTTTATTGTTGATATGAAAATGTTTTGAACAATATTGATAGGTTCTATAGTTAATAAAGTTATTTTTGTCTACTATATTCTATTTACCCAAGAGATTGACTTCGTATTATTGTGTTCACTTGCCAAGCTCCAACCGAAGCATCAAACTAAACATGTAATTAATTGTTTATCTATATGATATGTGCAGATGGACAACACATTGTGACTGTTTCACATGATAGAACTATAAAGATCTGGTCATGCAGAGGCACAGCGCGGGATAACGAGATGGAGTTGGATTAAGGCATTGATTCCACTTGCTGGAAACAGCTTGTGCTAGTTTTGTCCTTTCGCTGATCTGTCGGTCCAAGCTCTTTACATTCGATGATGCTATTTTATTGCGTCTATAACCCTAACCCTTATGCACATTCTTAACAAATGTACCTCATAAGTACTCCCTCCGTCCCATAATGTAAGACGGTTTTTAACAAGTATTTCTTAAGATTTTGGACTTGATATAGTTCTTTAAAACAAATGGGCTTTCTAGTAAAAACATCAAGTTCTTCAGTTTGGATGAAGTATATGGCGCATCCATGTAATTTTCATATTTGTAAAATGGTATTATTTTCATGATGTACGCTTGCTGCCAATAGAAATTGGAGTGCAGTTGCAACTTGCAATGTACTACTCCCTTCGTCTCATAATATAAGAATGTTTTTTAAGCTATGTTAACTTGAAAAACCTTTTTATATTATAAGACGTAGGGAGTACTTGAAAAGTAATCCAAAATAAGTCTGTTTTTAGTAGGACGCCTCCTTTATTTAACCCAAATGGTAAGCGCCATACGTAACCCAAATGATTAGCCACACGTGTGGGACGAAACACTCCGGCTCTGATGTATGCTACAACTAAAGTTGCCATCTAAAAAAACAACACCCCTCCCCCCTCTCGCCCAAAATGATAATGCTTGATAATTAGAGTTGTCATCCTTGTATCACTATAAAAAATGTTTGGAATTGCCATGTGATCGTATCACTAAACTTGTAATAAAGCATGTGTTCGTGCCACATGCGTGACATTTAATTAAGTCCATATTTAAAATTCAACAACGTCATTCATATGCAAATAATGTTTGGGGAATGTTCGGAGCTTTGGCTATTTGTTGAGGGCCAAAAGGAGTCTGCTTGTGCACTTGATTTGAAGGTGATTTTGAGTTTGGGGAGTCTGCTTGTGCACTTGATTTGAAGGTGATCTTGAGTTTGGGGAGTCTGCTTGTGCACTTGATTTGAAGGTGATCTTGAGTTTCGGGAGTTGCAGGTCGACGTGGCACAATCTTTTTTTTGAATGCCATGTGGCACAATCTTTCTGGTCTCACCTTCACGTTTTCAGTAACGACAATCGATGTACTTTGGGTCCTGGCCCATGTGTAGGAGTTCAACGGGCTTATTCCCCACGGTCACTGCACTTGAGGCCTGCCTGAAATATGGTCACTGCACTTGAGGCCTACCTGATCCTAAAACAAGAAAAAAAAACTTGGGGCCTACCTGGAATACGGTCTCTTCTCAAAAAAGGAAAAAAACCCCTGAAATACGGTCAGTTTAAGGGTGGGCCAAAAAACTTGGTCAAACAGTTCCATTTCGCTAAAAAAAACCGAACTTGGACGCGGACTTTTGGAACCTGCCGGTAAATGCCCTTGAAATCTGGACGACGTTGCACAACCTCGTGACCAAGGAATATTTAATACTCCCTTCGTCTAGGTGAATAAATCATCTTACGAAATTCACATTTTCTCAAAACCATAAGGCGCAGAACAAATTCTCCCCGATCCCGTCCCAACCTCGTTCACGAGCGCCCGCATCCTGCTCGATTCCCTCCCTGCCTCGTTCTCCCCCGTGGAAACCCCTCCCCTTGACCAGTGCATGCATAGTGGCCAGCATGGAATCACATACGTGGGCCAACATGGACATCTGAAAAGGCATCCTAATAACTAGCTATTAATTGCTGATTTTGCTTCCTTTTGTAAAAGCGTTGTGATTGAAAGTTCAGCTATTCCTAGTGCTCTCCTCGTCCAATCTAAAGCCACCTAGGTTGCGTTGCCACTCCTAAGGTGATTTATTCACCTAGACGGAGGAATTACAAGAACATTGCATAACTGGAATTGCTATATATATACATAATCAATAAGTGGTGTAATACAAAGGCATAAATGGCCCACATCGTTGCTATACATAATCAATACGTGGTGTAATACAACGACATTAATGGCCCACACTGGACCCACTTGGGGATGGCAAGATATAGGGTATCAGGCTGATCGTAGCGAGGAGTATCATATCATATATATGATACTAGTCCAGTTTTAAAAAAATGTATATGTCAGAATCGGGGCTCCGGGGACCCTAAGGTTTGAACTCTGGGCTGCGCTCGTTCTTGACGCCCTACGCTTTTCTACAATGAGTCACAACGGAGTTATGACCGGAGCGAGCTAGCGGAAACGGCTGGAGACGCGGTGGTTACGCAGGTTCGGGCGGCCTTGCGGTGTAAAATCCTACTTCTGCTTGGTTGTGGATTGCTATGGTGGTGGAGACAAGAGTACAAGTGCTGGAGAGCCATAATGGTCGACCTCCTCAACGGCAGCTCCCTGCCCCGCTTTTATATACGCCTTGGTTCTCTTCCCCCGAAAACACCAGTGGGAAGGGTTGCCACACAATGGCAATTTGAAAGGGGACAGGGGCGCAGTCTATCCTGAGAAAAGGTGGTCTTCGCGTGCAAATCCTCTGTCCATGACGCGTCGGTTGGCTCGTTGGTGACCTCCGTCCTGCGCGCCCGTCGTCCTAGTCTTCTTGCACCGATCAGGCAACTTTTGGGGATTGCTTTGGGAACCGACGCGTTGGCCTTGCTCCCTTAGCACCAAAGTGGAAACCTTCTCCATCCGCGCATGTTGGCACGACTCTGGCACCGTTCATCATCGCGCGTCCCCCACGTGAAGGCACGAGGCCACACGACCAGGCGAGTAGCTCTTGACTTGTCCGCCCCACGAGAGGGCTTCAGGAGGCTGCCTTGGGAGACCGCCTTGAGAGGGGGCCTCGCGGGGCTCCGGTGGGGCCGCCCAGTCCCCTCAAGATGCCTGCTGTTGGGGGCCTCGCTATGCAAGGACCTCGCATGGGGTCTTGCTTGTGACATCTGCAGGTGGGCCAGCTGCTGGATCCTTGGGTATGCGCCATGCCCTGGGCCAAAGGCAGACAGGCCTGGGTACCCCCAATCCCATGGGCCTGACAGTAACCCCCAAGCCCGCGGCACACACGTCTCCGCCTGTTTGGGGGGGGGGGAGGGGGCAAAACAACGCGGGCCCTAACTGCTTGCGGCCCAGGCGCGATGCGTGGCGCATGATGGAGTGTAGGGCGCCACCACTTCTCCCACGACACCTTGGCAACCGCCCAGGCTGACATAAAGCCTGCCCATGCACGACACGAGGCCATCATTACCTTCCTTGTCCCGCATCTTCCTTACAAAGGCGAGGGGGCGCGAACTGCTGCTCCGTCGAGCGCTATATAAGGGCAAGGGGGCAGGACCCGCCGGCTCATCTTCTTCTTCCAGCTCCTCCCTCCTGCTCCAAGATCCAAGCCGACCTTTGCAACGATGGCGAGGGGAAGAGGACGTGCTCGTGCAGCGCCTAGGGTGCCGTCCCCGAGGCTACATACGCTCTCCTACGGTCGCCGACGCTGGTCCCAGCGGCTACGGGTGGGGCGCCGCCACTAGGCACGGACGCTGGGGGCGAGGCGCCCATGGCCGAGGTGGCCGAGGCATCGCGGCTGCCTTGCCTCCCCAGGCGTGGAGTCACTCCACCGACGTGGCGCCCGAATTCATCGTGGGCATGCATCGCCAGCACTGATCCTGGCTCCGGCTCCCAGACTCCTTCGTGGAGGAAATGGCGGACCGCGCGCCGCTGGGCCCGTGGGTGCAGCCGGACGGCTGCTACAGCGGCCCCAATTCCCAAGGGGCTCGCGAGGGCCAGGAGGCTCGTGAGGTTCCAACGCAAGCCGCGCCAGCCTTTGGAAGGTGGCACATGCGTTCATCAGGCCGAAGGGCATGTGGGTGTAGTTGATGGCGAGGCCCGTGCCCCGGCCGACATGCGATGGCCAGAAGAGGTCCTGAGAGCAGGCCCTGTTGAGGCTCGCGAGGTCGATGCACATGCGCTCCTTCTCGCCTTTCTCAGGGACGATGACCAGGTTGGTGGACCGCTGGAGGCAGTGCTCCCCATGAATGGCCAGAGCTTCTCACAACTTGGAAGTCTCTCAGACGATGAATTCCTGCTTCCCTGGCGCCTGGTGCTGCGCTCCATGCTTGACGGAGCCTGCACCAAGGCACACCGCTAGGTGGTGCTCGATCACCTCCCTCGGCACCACAGGTAGGTCAGATGCTTTCCAGGAAAAGAACACCCGTGCCTGCCCGAAGGGGGGTGCCGAGCGCGCCTTCCTATGTGGGAGAAACGCAGGCGCCAATGGCGAGGG